CATAACATTTCCATAGGCAAAATAATTTCATCATTTATGGCAGAATAATCATAAGGCACATGTGAGCAACAATTCACAATTCATATATTAGTCAATAGTCACATCAGGTAATACCACCTAACACATACCTCTCACGTCACAATTAATTTACCGGGCAGCAGCGAAAAGTCCACAAACTTACGGAATATGCTCACCTATATACCATTGTACCAAGTCAGAATTTTATACAACTTCTCCAACACATTTCTATGCTTCTAACTCATGTGCTTACATCGAATTATAAGGCTTCTAATGTTAATTTATTTCCTGCCCTTAAGATCATTGCATTCATTTCTAGTAATTATAATTTTTCCAAGATTCCTAACATGTATGGGTTCGGTTTTTTTTTTTTATGGTTTTCATGTGGGAATAAATTTTCAGCCTTCACCTAATTTATCAACGTGTAACAGTGGGAAATTCCAAATTTCACAACCCATTTTGTTTTGATTTCTAACTCCTTAACAACCTGCATCAATTCAAATTTTCCTACCATATTACCTACAAAACTCACGAGGGCAATTTAAGGCATTATAGCATGCTGTTTGCTTAGCTCAATTAAACATGCAAGGTTTGGCTATTTATTCTAGTTCACGAAACAGTCCTACCAAAAGAAAATAACTATTTTCCAAGCTTTAGAAATAGGTTCAAAATCTTGCATGCATCGAAAGGATGGTGTGGTTCTCACGCAAAACAGATTGGAGTGAATTAAAATAATAAGATATATCCTACTTAGTGTACCTTATGAAAGCCGAACAGTGAGGGGAATGGAAATTTGGTTTTTCGGCTTACAGCTCCCAAGTATGTACCCAACTGATTCACCAATCGTTAGAAGGAAGTATCAGCCAAAGATTAAGCAAATGTCCTCACTTATCCTCTCCATTAGTCACGCCTTACAGCTGCATACAAGGAAGGTTATCCACTCTCCAAAGACTCAGATTTGCCGCTGCATGCATGGGAAAGTCCCCATCAAAACTGGTCCATGAGGTGGAGAACAAAGAGATAAATAGATACCTCACCTCCTTTAAGGTATGCTTTCGGCTTAGCAAGAAAACAAGAGGAAGGAGATGCAAGCTAGGTTCCAATCTCTTGGATCAATGGCCGAACTAGGAAGGGTTGAGGAAGATATGTGTAAGTGTGTTGTTTCCTTCCTATGTGCTAAGCTAAGATAAATAGGAGGGTTTTCTCCTTTTCATTGTGGAGGTGTGGTTAGGGACCACCCCAAAACTACGTTCCTGGAACGGAACGTACTTTATTTGGACTTTTTGGAGAGGAACATCAGACGTTCCCTTCTTTTTGGGAGCTATGTGGTTATGGATAACCACCCCAAAACTTTGCTCTTTGTCAGAGAGCAAATGTATCTACTGGGTTGCCTCCCAGTCAGCGCTTAGTTTAATGTCTTTAGCTAGACATGGTACTTACCTCTCAAGGGGTTTCAAAAAGAGGGATACTTTCCTCTTTTTCATTAAAGGTTTCATCATTGTATAGTTTTAACCTGTGCCCATTTACCTTGGAGGAACGGCCATGTTCTGAACCTTGGATTTCAAAAGTTCTGTTTCCTGCATCGTTAACAATTTGATATGGCCCGGTCCATCTTGATTTGAGTTTACCTGGGAACAATCTGAGTCTGGAGTTGAAGAGTAGCACCTTCTGACCGATTTTGAGATCTCTGTTCCTAATCCTTTTATCGTGCCACTTCTTCATCTTCTCTTTGTACAATTTATGATTTTCGTATGTGTTCCCTCTGAACTCCTCTAATTCTTCGAGTTGCAGCAATCTCTTCTCTCCAGCTGTTTTTTCATCCATGTTGAGGGTTTGGACTGCCCAGTAAGCCTTGTTCTCCAGTTCGAGGGGGAGGTGGCAAGCTTTGCCAAATATCAATCTATATGGGGAACACCCTAAGGGTGTTCTATATGCTGTTCTGTAAGCCTATAATGCCTCGTCTAACTTGAGAGACCGGTCTTTTTGAGAAAGATTAACTACCTTCTCTAAAATTCTCTTAACCTCTCGGTTAGAGACTTCAATGAGACCACTGGTTTGTGGATAATATGGGGTTGCAACTTTGTGTTTGACTCCATATTTCTCCAACAACCTCTCAAGTTGGCGGTTGATGAAATGTTTCCCTCCGTCGCTGATGAGACAACGTGGGGTTCCATATCTGGTTAATATGTTCCTCTTTAAAAAATTTATAACCACCTTAGCATCATTAGTGGGTAAAGTAACTGCTTCTACCCACTTGCTTACATAATCTACAGCCATTAATATGAATTTGTTCCCACACGAAGGAGGAAAAGGTCCCATGAAATCAATGCCCCAAACATCAAATAATTCAACTTCTAGGATCGGATTGAGGGGCATTTCATTTTGTTTAGTCAAGTTAGTAAGAACCCGCACCGTTAATTAAGGTATTTAATTAATTAATTATGCAAAAATAGAAAATGATTCTATAATTGACCCTAATAATTATTTATGAGGCTTAATAATCATAATAAGAGATTAAGAATGCTGAAAGTTGCTTTTCGGAAGAAAAGTGCAGATACCGGTTCTGCTAGTCGGTATAAATGCGTGCCGAAAAAGTATCCCGAAAAATTAAAGTAAGTGCATGATAATTACTAGAATAATATGTAGGACTTGTAAAACGAGTTTCAAGTCCAAATAATGAGAACTGGTGCTAGAAACCGGTACTGGCTTTGAAAAGCGCGTACCGGAAAGGTGCTCAGAAAATTATAAGAAAAATATGATAAATCTTAGAAAATTATGTAGTTTCAGAATCCAAAGTTTGGGATTACAATGCTAAGCGCGTCAATTAAAGTTAATACTGTGTGTTTAAGTGTGAGTTGGCTATTTATACTCCTTTAAGGGCTCACAACCCTAGGTAACAGAAAACCAGCGTGAGTTCTCATTGGTGGCTGACCTCCTATACTGTTCCATTGCCATCTTCTCCATTCTGAGACTTTGTGATCATTTTATGCTTGTTTCTTCTTAAAACCTTCTTCCTAAACACTTGTTCTTGTTTGAGTGAGCCTTGGGAGGTTGGAAGACACCATTTTTCTGAGTGATCAGCCACTGTTCTTGTTTGTTTGGGGGCTGACCTTGGTGGTTGGGTTGAAAGAAGCCTTGTCTTGGTTTTTGGTGGTCCTAGTGTTGATCTTTTGTGCTAAAGGGTCAACCTTTCTTACCATTTTCGTGCATCCTCTTGTGGCAGTAGCTTGAGACTGATTGTTAATTCCAAAGGGCAACCTTTCCTTTTGTTTTGAGCTGGGGTATGTGTACCAACCTTTAACTTGAGTTTAAATGCTTCAAAATGGTACCTTGATGCATCTAATGACTAAAAGATGATAACTTGTTGTTGGGTAATGTTGAACACGCCTAGAAATGCATGATTAGGTGTTTAAAATCGGTAAAAAGGGAACCTTTAAGGGATATCATCACGAAAATGCAGAAACTGCATTCTGTCGTGAAATATCCGGATATTTGTCGAACAAATATCCGGATATTGGATATCCGGATATGTGGTTTTGGGATATCCGGATACTGGATATCCGGATATGTGAATCTGTATATCCGGATATTGCATATCCGGATATGGACAGTGAGATATCCGAATATTGCATATCCATATATGGTCCCGAGGAATATCCGGATATTCTGGAATTTCGCTGAACAGTAGCTGTGCAGTGTGTAGAGTAGGTTATTGGGGGTTTGTGGACCCTAGTTTGATGAAGTTAAACTTCTGTATGTAGTGGTCTAAGCCAGAATCATGGGATTGGGGGCTTGTGGCTTTGTTAGAAGCTTTAAGACTTGAAAACATAATGAAAAGGCGTTGTCTTTAATTTGTATGCATGTGGTACATGTTATTGATTTATATTTGGTCCATATCATATTGTGATCTGCTGTGATTGGACTTTGAGCTTGTGGCATTGGATAGCTAGCTTAAGGTAAGCTTTCGTGTCCTCGGTTTAGCCATGTTGTGGTTCCACCATGTCCTATGGGGATATGGTATATGCATGCTGTGTTACATGCTTTTGATGTTTTGGAAATGCTGTTGAGCTATTGTATGTTAATGCCTTGTTGATATGCATGGAGGTGTTCCACCTATACGGTAAGCTTGAGTATGTAGAACATACAAGAGGGTGAGGCTGTGGGTGAGGTGCAAGCGGTGTTCCTTGTACTACATGTAGGGAATAGACGTATTCCTACATTTCTCTGGCCAGTAGATAGTGATTACACACATGCCATAGATATCTGTTGCACTACATAGTTTTGGAACTGATAATGATATAAATGCTTTTTGAACTTATATTGCACATGTAAGTGAGCTTGGGGTGGAAGATCCTTGAGGACCCCTTTCTTAATGAGATTTCTAGTTTAGAGATCTCACCCCACGTTTGGGGAATGCTTATTTCAGGGTCAGGTAATGTTGACACCTCAGGCGGCAGGAGGCCAGAGCTGAGTTAGATTGCTGTTATATTATGCTGCCATGATTGGATGCTGGATTTTGCATGCTGCTTTTATGCTTATAGCTTCAGTTTATGTTTTGGAGTATATTGATGAGATTGGTTGTGTACTATATTTATTTGGTGAGCATGGGGATTGTCCATGACACCTAGTATTGTTATGTCTTGTTTATGTCTTGAGTCTTTTGGAGTTGTAATAATGCATCAGGATATTGTCCGGATTACTTGATGTAATGCCATGATTTAGATACACACTTTATCTATATATTGAGGTATTTCAGTAGATGTCTTATTGCAATTTTACATACAGGCGATATTTTATGAAATTGATTAAGTAATCAAGTTGGTAATTGATAATGACGTCATAATTGAAAAGAAAAAGAATATTCCGCATTTTTAATTAAGCACCGCTTAATACGATGTAATGTTAATATTCCGGGTATACACGGGGTGTTACAACCTTCTCTTTGACATTTATCACAATTTTTTGCATATTGAAGTGCATCTTCAAAAAAGGGAAGGCCAGAAGAAACCTGATTGAAGAACCTTGGAGGCAGTCCTGATTCCTCCTAGATGTCCTCCATATGGGGACGAATGGTAGTGTTGAAGGATTTGAGGATGTTCTTCTTCTGGGACGCACCTTCTTATCATTTGGTTTGCGCATCTTCTGAACAGTAGTGGTTCGTCCCAGAGGTAGTTCCTGCAATCATGAAAAAATTTCTTCTTCTGCATTTTATTCGCCTCATAAGGTTCCAGCCCTGCTGCAAGGAAGTTGGCTATATCAGCAAACCAAGGAGCATTTGTCTCTATGTGATTAATGACAAACAATTGTTCGTCAGGGAACGTTTCCTTGATTGGTAGCCCCACTTCAATGTGTTCCAATCTGGACAGATGATCTGCAATTTGATTTTCACATCCTTTTCTTTCTTTGATCTCCATATTGAACTCTTGCAGCAGTAGGACCCATCTTATTAATCTTGGTTTTGCTTCCTTTTTTGAGAAGAGGTACTTGAGAGCTGCATGGTCAGTATGGACAGTAACTTGTGATCCTAAAATGTAAGGCCTGAATTTTTCACAAGCATATACTACAACCAATAGCTCCTTTTCAGTGACTGTGTAGTTCACCTGAGCTTCATTTAGAGTTTTACTGGCGTAATATATGCTACGAAAAAGTTTGTCCTTCCTCTGGCCCAGAACTACCCCAATAGCATGATCACTTGCATCGCACATTAGTTCAAAGGGTAAGTTCCAGTCTGGAGGTTGGATGATAGGCGTGGTGATGAGCTTATTTTTCAAAGATTCAAAAGCTTTCACACAATCAGAGTTAAACTCAAATTTTATATTTTTTTTCTAATAAGTGGCACAAAGGTCTAGCTATTTTGGAAAAATCTTTAACAAGCCTTCTGTAAAAGCCTGCATGCCCTAAAAAAGATCTCAAGGTTTTTACACTTACTGGTGGCGGCATTTTTGCTATAGCTTCTACTTTGGCTTGATCCACTTCCCGTCCTTCTCTGGAAATCTTGTGTCCCAGGACTATTCCTTTTTTCACCATGAAGTGGCATTTTCCCAATTAAGCACTAGATTAGAGGACAAACACCTTTAAAGAACTTCTTCTAAGTTGTCCAAGCAGTCATCATATGACGTTCCCAGTACTGAAAAATCATCCATAAAGACTTCTACTCCTTCACCTATTAGATCAGAAAAGATTGAGAACATACACCTCTGGAACGTTGCTGGTGCATTACATAACCTGAAGGGCATCCTTTTGAAAGCGAACGTTCCATATGGGCAGGTGAAGGTGGTTTTATGTTGATCTTCTGGTGCCAAGGAAATTTGATTATACCCCGAATATCCATCAAGGAAGCAGAAGTATTCTTTTCCTTCTAGGTGGTCCAGCATCTGATCTGTAAAAGGGAGTCGGAAATGGTCCTTCCTGGTGGCATTGTTGAGCTTCCTTTAATCTTGGCAGATTCTCCATCCTGTAACCTTTCTTACAGGTATCAGCTCATTCTTTTCATTCTTCTCCACTGTTATGCCTCCCTTTTTGGGGACGCATTGGACAGGACTTACCAAACTGTTGTCAGATATTGGGTATATGATCCATGTATCCAGCCATTTGATGACTTCCTTTCTCACCACTTCTTTCATTATAGGGTTCAATCTTCTTTCGTGTTCCACTGAAAAAAACTGTTAGGATCAGTCAATAATATTTTATGCATACAGAATGAGGGACTGATACCTTTGAGATCAGCTATAGTCCAACCGATGGCTCCTTGATACTTTTTGAGCTTGTCAAGCAACAATTCTTCTTGTTCCTTGGTAAGAAATGAAGAAATGATCACAGGAAGGGTGTTGTTGTTCCCCAGATATGCATACTTTAAATGTTGGGGAAGGGGTTTTAGTTCTAACTCAGGAGGTTTTTCTGAAGAAGGTCTTTTGAGCTGCTTCTCCTTTTCAGTTCTTATCAAAGGTTCAGGCCTTCTTTCTCGCAGATAGCAACTCTTCCCTTCCTGTTGTGGCTCTTCTTCTTCTTCCTCGTATTCTTCTTCCTTTGTTTTTCTGCTAGGCTGATTGTCTAACAAAGTGAGAGCAAAACATTCTTCCAAGTCTTCTCCTTCATCCTGGAACTTTATTGCTTTGACAATATTGAACTTGATCTCATCGTCATGAACTCTCATGGTTAGTTCCCCTTTTTGTACATTGATAACTGCTCCTCCAGTTTCTAGGAACGATCTACCTAGAATGATGGGAACGTCAACGTCAGCTTCATAATCCAGAATGATGAAGTCAGCAGGTAAGATAAATTTGTCTACCTTGACTAGCAAATCTTCAATCTTCCCTTCTGGCTTGACGATGGATATGTCTGCCATTTGCAAAGTCACCGTGGTGGGTTTAGCTGGTCCAGTGGATAATTGTTTGAAGACAGATAGGAGCATGAGATTGATGTTGGCCCCTAAATCACACAAGGTTTTCCCTTGGTACATGTTTTCTATAATGCAAGGAATGGTGAAGCTTCCTGGGTCTTGAAGCTTAGGTGGGAGTCTGCCTAAGTACTGCAACTCTCTTGTGTCATTTTTACAGTCTCGTATTTCGTTATTCCTCTTTTTTTGAGAGGACATCTTTAATGAATTTTACGTACCTGGGCATCTGTTCTAGTGCGTCCACCAGAGGAATGTTGATGTGAAGTTGTTTTAAAATGTCCAGGAACTTTCCAAAGTGCTTATCCTCCTGTTGCTTTTTTGTTCTTTGAGGGAACATAATTTTTGTTGATATTTGCCTGCTTTGAGTTGGACTGATTGGTTGGCTGTTGGCTTCCTTTTCAGGTTCTGGGTTCTGTTCATCTGTGACTAGTAATTGTTACTGTGCTTTTGGGGCTGCTTCAGGTGCTTCAGTCTGTTCCTTTTCCTTTGGTTGAACTGTGGGCTGTGCTGTGGCTTTCCCACTTCTTAAGGTGATAGATTTGATTTGCTCTGAAGGGGAGATAGGTGTTACTTTTGGCTTGGTTGTTGAAGGAACGTCAGTATTCCCTGCTAGTGATCCTTGAGTTCTAGTTTGAAGGTTGGTAGCAATCTGCCCCAGATGGGACTCAATGTTCCTGACCACTGCATCATTCCTGGTGACATATTCCTTGACATAATTTTCCAGGGTGTTGATGCGTTGGTCATCTCTGTGGAACAGAACGTAGTTGTTTCTCCTTTGTTCAAACGTTCCACTGCTGCTACCTTGCTGATACTGCTGCAGATTATTGTTGAATGGTCTCTGGTTAATGGGTGGCCACCATTGGGTGTTGTGGTTTTGATCCTTAATAATAGTTCCTCCATGGCTTGAATGTGTATTTCGTCCTGCTTGTTGATCATCTCTGGTGAAGTTCCTATTGCCAAAATTTTCTGCATAACACACCAATGCAGTGGATGGGCAGTCTGTTGAGTCATTAAGGTCACCACAGGCTGAGCATGGTTCTGTTGTTAGTTGCTGTGAGTTGTAAGACTTCCATCCTTGGTGCTGCTTGGTCAGCTCTCAGGTTCTTCACTTCATTCATGAGTGATGTCAGCTGGGCTTTCATGGCTGTTTGTTTATCCAGTTCTAGCTTGCCTGGCTTTCTTACTGGGCTCACTCTGTCTATTGGCCATTGGAGACATCTTTCAGCAGTCCCTTCTATGATTTCGTATCTTGATTCAAGTGTTCCTGTAAAGAAATATCCTCCTGCTGCAAAATCTAGGTGAGATTGAGAAGTATGGTCAAGTCCCTTATAGAAAGATTGTAACACTCCCCAACTCTCTACCCCATGGTTTGAACATTTTCTTATGATGTCCTTGTATCTCTCCCATGCTTCATCGAGATTTTCTCCATGAAACATTCTGAAGTTAGAGATTTCAGCTCTAACATCAGCTTGTCGAGACATTCGGAGAAACCTCTCTATGAACTTGTTAGAGAGTTCTTCCCATGTGTGGATTGATCCAGGGATGAGAGTTTTCATCCATGTTTTAGCTTTTAAGCCCAAGGAGTGAGGGAACAACCTCATTCTCATGCTCTCCTCTGTTATACCCTCAGCTTTAAAATTATCACAAATATCTTGGAATGTTGTGAGGTGTGTGTAAGGATCTTATGTAGGGAGTCCATTGAAGACCCCTGCTTCCCTAATCATGTGGAACATGATAGGTTTTAGTTCAAAATTTGGTGCTACAGGGGGAAGGATTACTCCCCTATCTGGTCTGTTCCTGAAAGGAGCAGCCAAAGTTCTGAAGTTCTGTTCAGGGGGAACCTCTTCATTGTTATTATTGTGATCAACCAAGTTTTCAGGAAATTCTTCCCTGAGGTTCCTTCTTCTCCTATGGAGTGTACGTTCTGGCTCAGGATCAAAGAGAAACTCAGGTACTTCAATGGAGTGGTTAGAGTCTGTTTCAAACTCTTCACTCATAAACCAATAGCACACGGTATATATATGCAGAGCAGATTCAATGATAAAGAGAAAAAAAATATAAAAGTAAAGTCATATATACAGTGTATGTGTTAGAAAACAATGATAAGAACAACAGTTAGTGTTTAAATTAATGATTGTTACACTTATTTGTTACTCTTGATTAGTATTTTTAGGATTTATTTGAATAAAATAATGATTGTTAGAGTTAACTTAGGTTTTTAGTTTTTGATTGGGTTTAATTTATTTTCGTCAGAAATTTTCAGCTTTATGTTACTTCTGTATTTTGGCCATATCTCGGTCCATAGTTGTCGGATTGACTCCGTTCTTGTTGAGTTTTTCAGATAACACAGAGAGCTACAATTCTTATGAATATCTCAAAGCCCAATTCGGACTAGAAGCTGGTCGATTTCGGACGCCAAGTTGGACGCGTTTTGCTAAAGTTTTGGTTGACTATTGGGCTTGTAATTTAAATTAAAACTCAATTACTTAAGTGGCCCAAAGCCAAGTTTTATTGTTTCATTTTATTTTATTCGGTTTTTATTTTATGTTTGTGCTGAAGCGATGAAACCCTAGCCGTCCTGCGTGACGACTATTTAAAGGGGACTCTAGGAAACCCTTGGGAGTCAGTTTTTACAGCAGAGAAGTTCTTTCTGAGTTTTTATTCAATTGTGTTCTTCTTCTTCTTCTTATTTTTTGAATTATGTTTACCTTAGCCATGCGAGGCTAAGAACCTTTTAATCAACCTAAGGGTAATGGATTCCATGGATTAGTCTTGAGGATCTGCGTTTATTTCAAATCAGTTTTGTTTCCCCTCCCAACTCAGATTGATATCGTGCGATCGTGGATATTCAATCTGAGGTTCGCGATTGCGATTATGGAAAGGGATTAATCATCAGATTTGATGATTAGGTTGATTGACCCTATGATCTTAAATCAAGCGGGCTGATACTCTGCGATTGTATGAGTAGAAGCATCGTCTTTGATCAAATGCTAAGCGATCGCTAAAAGAGGGTTGTCAATTGGAAATAAGGATTCTGATTCGATTGACAAATCAATCACGATTCTGATATCCTCTTATCCGCGGAAAGACGTCCATGGAACCCAAACCTTAGGTTGGTTATTTTTAATTACGAATTTTACATACAATTTTACATTCTGCCTTTTTAAATTATCAAACTGAAATCAAAACAAGCCCCCCTTTTATTTTCTGTCATCATAAGCGATTTTTACCCAAACAATTTCCTTGAGAGACGACTTAGGGTTTGCACATTACTACAAAAATTTTCTGAACCCTAAAGAATTAATTTTTAATTTGCACGAGTTCGACAGCTCGTGTCAAATTTGGCGTCGTTGCCGGGGAGATTGCATCGGTCTAAATCGTTTTCTGATTCTTGATCATCTTCTTTTTCATCTTCTTCTTCTTTTTCTTTAATTTTCGTTTCTGAAAAAAAAAAAAAATAAATTGGGGAAATCGGTAAAACTTCAGTTTGAGCGATTGGTTCCAGGAGTTCTATTCCCCAAAGGAATTCGACCTTATGAGCATAAGTCACAACACCCTAAAAGGGTGTGAGGTAACCCTTATTTTTGCAAAATTCTGTCGTTTACTAACTGTTTTTGCTGTTTCTTTGTCGTTTCAAGACGTATCGGGTATTTCTGAACTTGTTCAACTTGCTTGGATCGCTCTGAAAATTGGTGAGCTGAAGGAGACGATTATCCCTGTCAAAACTCGTTGGGCTTTGCCGAACGAATCAGGCCCTATTTTCACCGAATTCGTTCGTTTACTATTTTATTTTATTTTTTGAAAAAATTTTATTTGATTTTTGAGTCCGTAGGGTCAATTAGAGTTTAGGAGAGTTGGTCCCAGAGCATTCTGAGGTCATTTAATATTTCTAGTAGATTTATTTTGCTTCTGTTTGCTATTTTCAAAAAAAAAAAAAATGTGTCTTATCGTACGTTTTGTGATTTTACTGCTGTATGCTTTGCCTATGATGCATGACTAGAAGTAATACTAGTGTTGATGATTTATATGCATATGACCCTGAGATAGAGAGATCATTGCATGCTGCTAGTAGAGTTCGTAGGTTGACTTACAGTAGAGATGTTCCTGAGCATACCTTAGAGTCTGTTGAGTCTATCGAGTCTGTTTGTTCGAGTCCTTTACATAGTGTTTATTCGTTTGGTCATTTATTTGATTCTGAAATCATGGGTGATAGAACACTTAAGCAATTGGCTGCTCCTAACGTTGATAATGAGCAGCCTTTGTGTATTCGTTATACTAATCCTGTTGTACCTTTTGAGCTTAAGTCTGGACTAATACACTTGCTGCCCAAGTTTCATGGTCTTGCAGGTGAGGATCCCCACAAACATCTGAAGGAATTTCATATAGTCTGCAGCACTATGAAGCCAATAGGGGTGGATGAGGAACAAATCAAGCTGCGTGCTTTCCCTTTCTCTTTGGACAGTGGAGCTAAGGACTGGTTGTACTACCTGCCACCTTCCTCCATTGTAAGCTGGAATGACATGGCCAGATTGTTTCTGGAGAAATTCTTCCCTTCATCCAGGGCCACTTCAATCAGAAAGGAGATCAGTGGCATAAGGCAAGCTAATGGGGAGAACATGCATGAGTATTGGGAGCGATTTAAAAGGCTTTGTTCAAGCTGCCCACACCATCAAATTCCAGACAATCTCCTGCTTGTTTACTTCTATAAAGTATGAAGGGCTGCTGCCTATGGATAGGAACCTTCTGGATGCAGCTAGTGGAGGAGTCCTGAGCAATAAAACACCTAATGAAGCCAAGGAGCTGATTGCTGAGATAGCTGCTAATGCTCAACAATTTGGCACTAGAGCCAACAGCAGTGCAGTCTTCCAAGTGCAAACTCCTCCAATGCAAAATCCAACAGTAGCAGCAACAGGAGCATCAAGCACAGATAACCAGAGAATGGAGAACAGACTTGATGAGCTGACATCAATGGTGAGGCAGTTGGCAGTGACACAGACTGTGCAACCTTCTGCTCAACAGATAAGCAACTTGTGTGGCATCTGCTGTGATCCTTCTCACCCCAC